ATGTCTTTATAAGCGATCTCCCAACGAGGCAATTTAGTAGCCAACACTAATCTAACAAAATAAAAGACATCTAACAAAGAAGTCATAAACATGTAGCATCCTCGCTATATTTTTAAGCTCACCCAAATCTGCCTTGTGGAGACCAATATAAAACCTTCTATCGGCTATAACTAGTTGTATATATATGATAATTGTTATGCAACGGAGATGCTAAATCTTAGATATATATAGCTAAACGCAGCTACTCCTCTCGCTATAATTCTGTATATTGCAAGCTGTGTAAAACGGTAATACCGATTGATAGACTAATAATTGTCGTCTATAGTGTCGCTATTTTTTAGCGCTATACTATATATATATACTAGTATATAATACTAACAGAGATCCTACGCCTGACAGCTAAATTATAAGGGCAGGATATCTGCGTAGTTGATATATCTGTGGCATTATTCAGATGGTATACAAAAGCACTCATTGAACATGTTATCCCCCCCTAGTATATGAACAGCTTTGTATAGATAGCTGCAAACTTGAGTTAAAGCTTAGGGCTAAAGTTTAGTCATCTATTCTGTGCAACATCTCCACTATTTGGTAATGTTATCATGGAGAACAGACAGTATCTATTGGCGGCTTTTGATGAACTAATAAATGGAATCTGCCAGAGTATATGAACTCTTATCCAATTTCTTCATTGAGATTATATCCATCTACTAGTCAGTGAGAGCAGGTCGGGTCATCAGGGACTAACCAGTATATACTCAAGGTCCTCCTGTCAAGCGCTAATATGTTATAAGCATTTGTTCCAACACTTAATGCATGGATACATCTCACAAGCGCAGCTATGCTCTCGAAGGCTCTTGAGACACGAATTGTGATATGGACAATGGACTCTAGTCGCAGTCATCTAAGTACAATCCAAATCAACTTTGTCTTACTCCTCTAAAGCGTCGGACAGATTGGAATATGTCTCTTGGGCAGATTTCCAAAGCCAGAGCTGTTTTGGTTTTTATTGGATACATGGAAGCAGCCACTGGGAAGATACACTGCTGGACTTACAGAGGGAAGCTATAAATGTCATGTACTCTCAGGCAGAAGAGCTTGCGTTTGCACAGATGGGGTAGTTACTCTCTCTCTCTCTCTCCTCCCTCTATATATCTCTGTCCATCCTCTCTTCTTCTGGACATGTTACATAATTGTCTGCTTGTCCGCTTCATTTCAAATCCTCCCTGTGATGTGTTCGCCGGGCCTCCCTGGCTGTTTCACAATTCCATCCCCTCGGAGCATATTTTCTCTCTCTCTCTCCCCCTCTCTCCCCCTCTCTCTCTCCCCCTCTCTCCCTCCCTCTCCCTCTCTCTCCCTCCCCCTCTCTCCCCCTCTCTCTCACTGAATTAGCAGCAGTGCTGGTTTTATAACACCATTTATAGAGAAAGACCTCTGATGGAGAGAAAGCAGTCTGGCCTCTAAAGCAGAAGAATGTGTGTACATGTTCTCCTCGCAGCCAGTAAGTCCTTCTATAGCGATGGTGGAATAAATAGTATGAAAGATGGAGAACTACAACAGTTACTGAGGCTCTGTTTGAAATAACTTCCTATTCCTAAATACTGTACTACATTAACATTTTCAGTGTCTTAATTCTCTGTGTGTAAGTTTGTTAGTTTTCTCAAGTAATAATAGTAATAATCTAGTAATATTGAAAAATAACTCACTAAAATCAGTAATGTCAGCAGTTACTCTGAAATTGGCAAAAAAGTATCTAACTTAAGCCACCGTACGCTGCCGCTCATACCGTGATACAAGCCATTTGTAGTCAGTTGTGGGAATGGTCAGAAGAGTTGTGCAGATGCGGGGAAAAACACACGAGAACAGGCGTACGCGTACGTCTGAGGGAAAAGACTGCGTACGCGTGTTTCTTGTTTTGTGTGTACACAGATTTCTACAGCTGAATATTCACACAACTTTAAGCCTCTGGCCCCATCTGAGCTCAAAGGTCCCCTCACTAGATTTTGGTCACATGGTAACATTTGTACCAACTCTGTTAACTGAAGTGGACTGTGATTGAGATTATATATATATATGTATATGTGTTTATTAGAGTTAATAGGAAATCTGTCACCACTGAAACACATAATTAAACCACCTTTTGGTTTTCCGTTACATTTCAGGTTCTGCTCCCACCGTACGAGGAGGCCATTGCCATACCACCGAAGGAGCCCCCTCCCCAGTATATGGAGGCATGAGAGACACCCCAGCTGCTGGATCCTATACCCGAAATATATACCTATACCCAATACCTACTACATCTCCCTCCAACAGTAGGACCCCGATACTGGCTGGAACGTGTTGAAAAGCAAGACCAAACAATGTCGTAGAGGCCGCTTTCAGCTTGGATTCCTGCCAATCTTAGATTAGATTAGGCCAACCCTGAGCCAGTATTGCCATCAACTCTCCCCCCTTACCCCACCCCCAAACACCACCCTTGGTTGTTGTGACGTATTTTCCTCCCCCCTTGTCTCCTATGTCCCGCTCCAAGGGCAATATCGGAGCAACTTCATCCGCCACCACCAGCCCTCCCCTCTTGGCAGTTGCTGTCCCCCTGGCAGCATCTAAACTCTTGCACGCCCCGAACACTCTGTCCCAACTTAATTTGCACTTTTCTCTGAGTGAAACGTGCACCGGTCAGGCCACCAACTGTTAACCCCCGATACTGTGAATCTCCCTCGTGGTCTTTGTCTAGAAACAAACTACCTGAAGAGAGATAGCGACAGAGAGAGTGAGAAGGAAAGCGACATACACGATCAGTTATGCAAGAGCACTTTTTTCAGAAATCGACGAATTTCCTTCATTGAATGTAATGTTGAGGTATTTTTGTATGACTTTTTTGTATAACAGTGAAAACTGAGAGAAAATGAAGTGAGTAGTGAAAGGCTGTTCTGTTGTGGTGAAATATCATCTGCGTACTGGTGTAGTTTGTCTTGCAGGAAATCCCAATCGAAGGAAAGGGTTCCTCGACCAATAACAACTGCGTCTTCCTTTTGTATCCATGTTACAAACTGTGTAAACTTGTAACCCATTGACTGCCAGTGAGAACCTCGTTCACCCATTGATTTCTACCACCATATTCCAGTTTGCCTTCTGGTCCATTTCCTGTCTTTTCCGAGAACTCAAAACATTAAGAAAGACTGGCATTAATGTATCAGTCCAGTGAAGCACTTATCACAAACATACACACTACAGATCCAAATCCAAAAAGGCAGTACACACTGTAAAATGTGTAAACAGAGTGTGAAAATGTTTAAGTGAAGTCCTTTTTTCCCCGTTGAGTTGCAGCTGCAACAGCATCGTCTGTGTCTTTTATTGTTTTTGTTTTTTTACATGGATCATGGTGTATAATCTGATCTTTTTAGTTGAGCTAACTTAGCTGGACTGAGGGCATGTGTGTGCGTGTGTGTGCGCGTGTGTGCTTGCCTGAGTACTATGATGTAACTCCTAGGTCCTTTATATGTAGTAACTTTTTTTTTTTTTGCACATGCAGTGATATCATGTTGAGATATTTCCTATGCTGGTGACCTTTTTTAAAAAATGAACGATGGATGGGAATCTAAAGCCGTGAATTAGCTTAGTATAGTAGCACAAAATCAATATACACAATATGAAGCTAGATGCTTGTATTTTGTAACTATTGAGGCAACAAGTTGAGACATAATAATGGAGCAAACAATATTAGATATACCTAATCCATTTTTTTCTGCAATAATTCCTAAGTAGTGTTTGCTATCAGCAGAAAGAACTTTAAATAAAAAAACATTTTGTCATTCGGACTATGCAACAGTGCATCCAACAACCCGTTAGACCTGGAAATACACGTAGTATTCCATTTGATACTAATACTGTAGTTGATAATGTAGTCATCTGTTGGCCCTTTCATCGTTGTCCCTGTGTGAATTACGACCACTGCTTCTGCAAATCCAACAAAGCTGAAAATGAAATTGCACTTTAAAGTCAGCGTAAGCTCACTGAGAACCGATGTGTTTGTGTTGTGTTCATGTTTACCACGGTATGCTGTAGCTAGGTGGTTTCTAATATGAGCAGCCACAGGCTTCTAAAACATCACATTTACAAATCAATATTTCCATTTGCGATGTGACTGAAGGAGTATAGATTATATACTATCTGGACTTGTTTTTTGGCTCATTTTATTAGAATCACTTCAAGACTGTTCTCCATTGCTTTCCATTCACACACATCCTCTTGTTGGATCTGCATGAGCTCATGTCTTCAATTCTGAATAATAAAAAGCAAAATTAATATCTGTCTGCTGTTGCATTTATTTGTTAAGTCACTGGTTTGAGTCTTTTTTTGTGATTGAGCTTTTTATCAGCATCTTGAAAAGAACAAATATTTAATTTAGCCATCTTAAATTAGCAAGAAGCCTTGGAGATGAGATAAAAGACTTATCGGGATAAACCTTAGGCATTAAGCAGTTCCTTTTATTTTATTTGGTATTTTTCACACATTACTGACTTTTGGATATGTATTTCCAGATTTTTAGAAAAATGTTTGACAATAGATTGTATTGCAATCACATGTGGGATGGTCCAAGTGTTTGCCATACACATTCTACATCTTAAATAAGAGGCACTCATTTTCACACAGATGTTACTAATAACATTAACGATGGCTCCAGCATGAACAATACCCTGCAGCCAAAACAGCTAAATGGAATGCAGCCATTATTAATTTTATTATTTACACCTGTGTCAAAATGTCCTGTGGAAAAAGGCCTGTTTGTTTTCTCTTACATGGATTTATGTGTTTATTAGAGCTGACTGAAGCTAACATCTTATTCAAATTACAGGGTGTCTGTGTCTTCTGATAGGGCAGTTGGCCTCTTACGAAACACTACTCAACAAACATTGAATGCATCACAGGCTGGAATTGAGCACAGTGACTCGCCGAGGGCTGACTGGCTTGATTCAACGCCAAGAACTTCACTTTAAATCAGTGTCTAACCACTAATGCGGGAGTTTAATTCAGACATTACATTAATCACGTTCTCTTTTTATTCAAAAGAAATGATAACTGGTACAAGGTCCATACAAATTGTGTTCTTTCTCTGCACATACAACCAGCCAATAATTCATTACCAGATCTGACCAGATTGCTCTAAAATTAAATTAAACATAGTGACATTTTGAGAATATGACTATATGAAAAATGGGTGTCCAGTTGATGTGCGTGCATCCCGCTGCCCTCAGACATTCAGCATCCCTGAGTGGGGGACGAACAAGCTGGCAGATCAGCAAGGATTTACCCGCCTGCCTCAAAATGGAGTCTGGCATTACCTTGGGTCTGACAGTAGGCTGACCAGACAGACGCTCACCTACTTTCTGCCACTGGGACGGGGCAGGGAAAAAAACAAACAAACAAGTGGGTCACATTCTGTCTCTTTTCTTGCGGAAATGCTCGTTGGATGCAGATAGAAGGTTGTACAATGACATTAGCTTCAAAAAAAAAAAAAAGGGGGGAGATATTTGTGAAAGAGGACACAGGAGGGGCCAAAAGGTGGTTTAGCTAAATCTGTCAGCAGACTTTGTATGACCTGGATAGCATTCGAATGCGTCTCTAACAATTCCAGTTTTACCCTGAAGTAATAATCATAACACAATAAAGATTAGAGATACTTTAGAGGTATTTTATGTACATAGTCATATTACCCAGTAGTACACTCACTAAATGCATTCTTAAAGGATGTAAAGTTGTTCAGTGTATACTTTGGCTTGTAGCAATGACAGAAGTTCATGATCAATAACATTGTGTGTGGCAATACAAACCACACAGCATCCAGTAAATGTCCATAACTGATCACATACCATCCAGATGATGTTCCAATGGAAATGTTCGATACTTGCACTCTAGTGGCCAACACGGCCTGACTGGTTTGTACTCAGTTGACTTTGTTCTACACAACTGGAGATAAATGAGTCACTGAGACAAAAATAGTAAAGAAATAAGTCAAACAGTGGCCCAAAAATGTGCTGGAGGATGCTGTAAGTCCCCTAAAAGGATTTTTCCCACTATTTATGTTGCAGATTGTTTACTGTTAATTCAAATCTTATTCTGCAACCTTTTTTAGATATTGTCCTCATTTGGTGCTGGGCATCTGCTGCACGTGAAACAGATCATCTGGGATGCTTTCATTCGATTTAATTGGGAATCAAGAAAACGGCTTAGTAAAGCAGTGAGTGGAAAAACTGGGCCAAACCACTCGATGGATGATGGACGGCTTATATCTCTGTCTCTGGATAGATGCACCAGCCCGTCTGTATGGTCAGAGTTTCAAACTCAAAAGGTCAGAAACAATGACATTCGATCTTGACGTCTATGGGATACAGTTGCAGTATGAGATTTTACCTTTCAGTGACTGCAGCTGGCATCTGCCTGCTGTTGGTATTCAGGCTTTCAGACATCACTCTTTCTCCTAATAATTGCATTTATTTCAAACATTCATATTTGATAACATTTGATGTATTGTTAAATGACTTAAAAACTTTTGATGCCAAAAGGAAATATCTAAATTAGATGACTATGAGGAAATATCTAAAGATCTTTTTAAAATATTATTTGTAAATGAATTTATTTATTATGTTTACGACTGTCACTGGAGAGAGGAAGTCGCACTCATTCCAGCTGTTTAAGCCTGACTAACTTTTGAGGGTAAGACAGTTTTTCCTCAGTTGTCGTGGAACTGTTGGTGTTCAAACTGTCAGTAGTCTGTAGGGTAAACACAGGTGTTACCAATTCTATTAAGGTTTTGTTCCAATTATTGTAGCAGAGCCTTTCCAGTGAGCCAGCATGCACAATAGCAGCACCCTGACTCCGTTTGACCTGAATGGAACAGAACCTTAATTATACTACAACTACTATTTCATCAAACTGGTTGTTTCTCATCCATTTTGGCTTTAAAGTTGAGCTTAATATCATTAAAAATGTGCATAGTGGCCAAACAATAAACTGTGTCAGGTTCAGTTTGATGAAAAGCAGTTACACCTGTAAGGTTTAATCAACTTCAGCAAGCTGAAGTTATATATTTAACAATCGAAGAGCTCCAACACACCTTTCAAACCACAGCCAACAAATGTCCAACTAATACTGATGTTTTGCAGGTGTTGCTGTGGTTGTGACATTAGACACACACAGTGACACAAGCTGAACTGTACAATGACTACATGAGTATTTTCTGGCAGCAGGGGGTTGAGACACAGCTTGAGTCATCAATTGGTTTATGATGGCTTTAAATGGGACCTTTTAAATGAGCCCCTTTCTTTAGATGTGGCTGATAAATAATGAAATTAACCAGCACACCACTTTGTTCTGGACGTCAGTGTATTTTCACTTGCGTCTCGGAGGACATCAACGGTATGTTTGACATGAGCAGCCATCACTCTCTAAAGCCTTTAATACTTCTGAAAGGAATGTCCTTACTCGATTACAGTCAACAGGCTGCAGCTAATACAGCAGGCGGTCATCACAAGGTTTATGTAAGTGAGAGAAAAGCCACACCATTCTCCATTCTCTGTTGCCTAATATTAACATCAACATGATGATGAGCAGCGAGATGGGTTGATTGTCATTTACACCGAAACAGATGTTGTCATGCTTTGTTACACAGGAAAGATGGACTGTGCCGATACTCGTATTGTAAACTGCTCTGCAGACTCCAGGAAATCCCTAAAACAGACCTTGAAAATGTTCCTGAGGAAACCTGATCTGAGAACACCAAAGACTACACTGGTGCTCTCTGGTGGACACATGCAGGAAAAACATACTGTCTGTACAGGCAGGGTATGTTGATCACAAATTAAAATAAGGACAGCAGCATGTACTGTTAACACCGATTTTATTTATAACAACGGGGTGGGGAACAGCTCTACTGAGGTGGCTGCTGCTGGTCTGGCATGCTCCTGATGATGTCAGAATCGCCTGAAGAGGGAAAGAAAACAAAAAGTCAGTAAAAAGTAATAAACAGCCAAATATACAGCACAGACATCCATTATACCCACTGTATAAAACACCTCCTACAGTAAAGTTAACATTAGGAGGGTAAATGTTACCAACGGAGCATTCATGAACCGACCAGAAAGCACTGGCAGTTCAGTAAGTGCTCTGAACGGCTTTCATCTAGCGAACCACTTGTCCTGAATTGGACACTTTGAAGAGGTCCAACAGGCGCTTCAATTCGCAGAAGAAACCAAGAGGCAGGAAACAGAAAATATATACTATCTGGAAGTTTTAACAAACCGCAGCCTCAGCAGTGAACCCAAATATTTTAATAATTAAGGTCGATGGAGACATTTGTGCAGTCTCATTTGCGGAGCTTTTGACATTACGTTGATAGTGATACTGATGCATCGATATTATCTCAGGTTGCATTACAACAAAGACAAACGTAAGTGATAAAACAGGACCACAAGATTACAACTAAAGCATAATAAATCTCACGTTTTTAACATTATTTCCCTCTCTGACTTGATTTTAATTGCTGAATGCTGGTGTGTTTGTCCTACATTACTAATATGGCTCTAGGTGAACAAGTTTGTTGGCTAATGTAATGCATACTCTATTATGGATCGTTAAATGCTCTGCTGTGGTTTAAGGGCCCTTTTGGCTGCAGTTCGGCTCGGTCACATAAGCTCACTGGGACCAGTCCCCTGAGGCTGCTACCAGACTGTATCCGGCTGAAGCTTTTGTCAGAAACATCCCATTAGTCCATCAGATATTTTAGTATGGGTCCACTCCAGCATTAATTAGCCAAAGAACACACTCAATGTTTGACGGTAGAGGAAAAGTTTGGGAATCAATTGCACAGTACGGCAGACTGTGTCCAATACAAAAGGTACTCACCAGGGTCAATAATCGCCAGTGTGCACACCCTGTAGTATTTGCCGCAGGCTGTGCCGAGCTCAATGTTGTTTCCACTGTAGTGGTGGACACCGGTCTTGGCCAGCATAGCGTAGTACTCAATCTCAGATTTCCTGGACAGGGCAGAGACAAAAAGGAAAATGTGAGCCAAAGCAGCAGATACTCATAGAGTCAATTTGACAGGAAACAATACAAAACTTCCCCCAAAACACAGACAGAATTAATAATTCTCTGTAACCAGAAGATTTTCAGACCTGTTGTGTGTCAATATGTGCACGGAGGCAGAAATCTGATTTAAAAGACTAAACATTATTTGATTTACCAGTATTTGAAATCTATGACATGGCATAGAGACAAGCATCAGTTTGCACATTAAACATAAT